CAGCTCTTCCTGTCGTGCGTGTGCGTGTGCACGATGCTGCCCCCAGCCGCCAGGGCCGTGGGGGGGTCAGGTCTTGTTTTTGGTGGCAGTCTTGTTTCTAAATCTCCCTCACGTTTCAGGGCAGTCTGCCACCTGCTGCATGCCCCACGCAGGACCATGGCTGTGGCTAGTAAAACTGTGCCCCCCCCCCCCCCCGTTTACTGCTGAGTCAGCTGTTCTGCAGACAGTGCTCAGCTCCCTCTGGTGGCAGTGAAGCCACTGGGCGTGGCCGGCCACCCTAGGGCCAGTGCTGGAGCGAGCAGGTGGGTGAGAGCAGCCCTGGCAGGAATACCACAGCCACCCTGCTCCGGCCTGGAGCTGGGCACACGCTTCGGAACTGCTCTGCCTCAGGTGGATGCCTCAGGTGGATGCCTGGGGCTGTGCAATGGTGGTTCCCGTGCTCTCACCTGGCGTCGTAGTTGTGTTTGGTGAGAAGACTCTCAGGTCTTTCTGTACTCTTGCTGCGTGAATTCCGTGTCTCTCTGCCTTCTTAAGTGGGTGGCATTGTCCGTGAGGCAGCACATGGGACATTTCTCTGTTTGACTGTGCTTTGAATAAATGTTTTCTCTGACTTTTGACAAAATTACTGTAGTACAATTCTGAGGGAAAATAGGATTTTTAAAAACAATCACAGTGTTTTTATTATTAATGTATAACTAAAGTAATTTCACTTTTTTCATTAAATTTTAGCTTGTTCTGTCAGTTGAAGCCACGAGAGAGAGTTGTCCCTAAGTGGTATGAAAAGCCGTATGAGTGGAATCAGGTGAGTGACGAGCCGATGGGCTGCCAGAAGTGGAGAGACAGGCCTCTCTGGGGCCACTCAGGGTCAGGCCACAAGTCGGCAGGGGACGTGGAGAGTAGGGGACTCGAGGCCGAGTGGGGTTGCTGTGGTGACCGGGCAGCTGCACAGGGGAGTGGGCCTGTGCAAGGCCTGGGAAGACTGTCAGTCCCCAGCCACTGTCTGGAATTGTGGGATAGCGAGTTGCATTGGCCTGGGTTGGCCCCTTGTCTCTCATGGCCTGTATGAAAGCACTTTGCAGCTCTGACACTCGGCTTCTCATCAGTGTTTGGTCATAACAGTTGCACATGGGGCAGACTCACCCTGGGCACCTGGTAGAGTACTGGCTAAAGCTGACTTCAGTGGGGGAACCACGGGGAGGGCTTGAGCTGAGCCCCAAGCAGACATGCCTTCAGAGCAGCCCTGCTGGGCGCTGGTCCTCATCCCTCTGGCCAAGCATGCCAGGAGAGGCTGCTGCCACTGTGAGAAGCCCTGCCTCACCGAGTGGCCCTCACTGGCTCCCTCAGGGTGTCATGTCACCGAGCGTTCCACTGTAGCCACAGGCCACTGGCCTTCAAAGTGGCACTTCATTGGGGTGCTGTTGTCGGCCCTCCCGGGCTTTAATGCGCTTCATGAAGTCTGGTCCTGTTAGTGAGCAGAAATGTGTAGTGTTTTTTGAGAAAGTTACCATGTTAATGAGGATTTGCAGTTGAAATACCAAATACAGACTGTGAAGTGAAGGGGCCCTGGTGGCGCAGTGGCAAAGCGCTCAGCTGCGGACTGGAGGTTGGCGGTTCAGACCCACTCAGCAGCTCCACAGGAGGAAGACGAGGCGACCTGCTTCTGTGAAGATTACGCCTAGAAACCTGGGGGTGGTTAGATCCTGTCGACAGCATGTTGTCGCCGAGGCACTCATAGCAGTGGTGGGAGGAGCATTGAGGGAAATTGACAGCACACTTGCTGGTATCTTACGTACCAGTCTGTGTGCACATGCATAGTTGTATGTGTTTATTTTATTTCTGTTATGGATAGAAAGCTCACCCTATAATAGTGAGCCTGACTGGCCCTTGGCTTGTCTTGCTAGGTTGACCCCACACTAGTCATGGAGACGGCTGACTGGGAAGGCAGCAGAAGGAAGAGCCCCTTTCTCTACCAGCTCCATAAGCTGGTTGTGCTGGCCACCTAGCTGTCGGTGGACACGTCCAGACCTTGTCTACATCAGTGGAAACGTGGCTCCCAGATAGACTTCTCTGCACCTGTGATGACAGTAGACTCTGCTCCCGGCTTCATGAAGGCCACCTGCCCCAGGCCCTTTCCCACACAGGTAGCTGGGGGGTCCATTCAAGTGGGAAAGGTGGGAGTGGCCAGCTTTTCTGAAGACAGAAAATCACGGTATCAAATATTTGGAAAAATTTGTTTTGAAAGAAGGCTTTGTTTGGAGAAAGAGCTGTATTTGACTTTAAATTTAGTAAGGCAACTGTAAGTGGCTGATGTTATGTGTCCAATTCCAGAATGTGCTTGTTCTATATTCAATCATAGTCAGGACACTGCGGGGGACAGCTTTGCGTTTAAAACCATGTGGCATCTTCTCAGTTCCTCCCCGTCCCCCATGAGGGAAAACATTTAATTTTGGTAAAAGTGACTTGAGCTTTGTACATTTTAGGTTTTTAAGTCACGGTTCTTCATCCATGTCTTGAAATCACAGTGTTCACCTGGTGACCAGTCTGTCTGTGTTAAACAATAAAAACATTAGACTAAGCTGCTGTTGATGGTAGTTTGTAGTCAGTACATTGAAGTGTATGTCATTCTAAAAACTCTAGTTTTATAAAATTAGTAGATAAAGGGATGTACAGCCCCTCCCCATGTCATCGAGTCTGTTTTGACTCACAGCACCTCTAGAGGACAGAGTGGAACTGCCCCTAGGGTTTCCAAACTGTCAATCCTTACAGAACCAGACTGCCCCATCTTCTCCCACAGACTGGCTGGCGAGTTTGAACCACCAGCCTTTCAGCTAGCAGCCCAATGCCTTGTCCACTGTGCCACCAGAGCTCCTTCAAAGGGATATAACCAACAACCAAAACCAAACTTACTGCCATTGAGTCAATTCTGACTTACAGCAACTCCCTTTGGGTTTCAGAGGTGGTAAATATTTACGGAAGTGGATTGCCTAATCTTCCTTCTGCAGAGTGGCTAGTGGGTTTGAACCGCCAACCTTCTGGTTAACAGTCAAATGCCTTATGCACTACACACTACCAGATCTTTTCTGTCTCTCTGTCTGACTAAACCTGACTGCAATAGGAGTTGACTTTTTAAAAGAGGCATTTACTGCTTTAATATGGGGGACATAGGAGGAAAGCTGGGGAGCTAGTGCCTCTGTGGAATGGCCTCCCATGGGCCTCAGCTGAGTTCTGGGAGAGAAGGGGGCATGGCCTGCACCTGGACCTGGCCCAAACCCATCAGGATGCTGAGTGGCCCTGGGGTCTGAGCGCTGAGATGAACTGTGGTTAGTCCCTGTGTGTCACCCTCCGCCTCACTCTGCCTTCCTGGTCCTGCTCCTCTTGAGCAGCTCCAACCTCCAGCACGAGAGAGGACTGTGGACAGGGCCTTCCCAGATTTCAGAGCCAGCGCACATGTTAACAGTACCACCACACCTGCGAGCATCCGGCTTGTTACGTGAGAACTGCACCCATCTTTTCAGAAGACTGTCTTGTGAGAGAAAGGAGGACAGAGTCCCCATCCCCACAGAGTCCCATCAGTAGCGTTGGTGAGCCCTGCCCCCACTCTTTATCATACTCACTGTGTAAAGCTTATTTTCTGCAGGACCAGGTAATTGTACCTTCAAATGTGGTGCCACTAGAGTCCACAGAGGACCCTGGAAGTGCTGGTCAGTTGGGAGGAGGTGACTGGCACATGGGGTTGTGGCCTGGCAGAGGGAGCTTGGGGGCTGTGTGAAGTGCTGCCATCAGCAAACCAAGAAGTATGGCAGGGGGTGTCGGCCTGGGACATTTCCAGAAAGACTTGGTATTTCAGCTGAGTTTTGAAAGAAAACTAAGGAAAAGGGGGTAGGGGTGGGGAGGGTGTTTTGGCCTTTTGAGAACATGCAGAGATGTCAGAGAGCTGCCTGTTAGGAGGACAGGATGCCTGTTCAGGATGACGGGGTGTCAGGTGTGGGGAGAAGTGTGAGCGGGAGAGAGCTAGAGCGGCAGCGAGCCCTGGGCACTGTTTTCCTTGAAGACCCTGAGACACTCTGAGTGAAGGCACTCAGACCCAGTGCTGAGTGCTGTCCTCCGTGCATCTGTGTAGTGGCCCCATGGCTCTGGAGTGGACATCAGCCTTCCTTGGGCCAGGACACCCTCCTTGATGATTAAGTTGACATGCAGTGTTGATGTCACTGGCCAGAGGCATTGGGGCCTCACCGTCTTCCACGTGGCTGATGGCGGAAGATGGACGCTCTGGAGACCTTTCCTGCTATGTGGAGGGATGATCGAGGCCACCATGCCAGGGACATGTGGGTCCCTAGTTCCAGGAGACAGCTCGAGGCCTTACCATCAGTTCTGCCTCCCGCATGACAAATCCAGGTGGGGCTTCTGTCTGAAGTCATGCAAGGGGGCAGTGGCCAGACAAGGAGCGGGCCCCTACGAAGACAGCACTGCCCAGCAATGTGGTGTGTGGTGGGACAGCGACTCCATCCCAGTCAAGCTGCAGCCATCGTGGGCTCACAATGGTGGAGAGAAGGAAGGAAGAACAGGTGGTGACCAGGCCAAAGGTGGGGCCTTAGCCGGCAGGGCAGCAATGACCCCAGCCTAAGAGAATGGATTTGCAGCACTTACAGAGGAGGTGGTGGGAGGACAGTGACTGATGAGAAGTGAGCCATGACAGAAGATGCTTCTTTGGGAACCGCTTCAGGTCTCCAGTCTCGCAGCTGGGAAAATACCTAGAGTGATGCAGTGGGCACAGCAGGGGACATGCCTGAGGGATGTTGTTAGTTTTTGTTAGGGGCCATCGAGT